GTGACAGTTATATTTAAAAAAGCAGGATTTTGTATACATTTTCATCATTTTTTGTTGTCATCTTGCACTTTCAGATAAAACTATTTTACATGGTTTCAGGAAGCTGGCACAGAGAAGTATAAGTTTCCTGAATTGAATCAAAAGATTTATAAAGGAGGGAAGAAGAGAAAGAGAACAAAAAAGAGGCTGACAATGATGCAAGGAATTTCCACTTTACTGTTATGTGAACTTGTCAGCTATACATGAAGCCAAATTCACTAAAAAATCCATTTGGATAATGCCTTTACTCCATGCAATTTATTCTGAATACACCAAACTTTTCTTGCCTCTGAAACCCTAAGTTCAGAGTTAACACAGTCCCGTTAACCTAATCTTAGCATTCCAATTAGATTCTAAGCTCACTTACCCCCTTCTAAGAAAGAAGAGACACAGCATAGCCTGCTAATACGAGGAAACAAGCCTAGAGATACCAGTTATACATTTTGTTCAGTCACCCATCTGTAGCAGAGCTAGAGCCAGAAAAAAAGTCTCTGAATCCATCTTTCAGTCATTCAACAATCATTGATACTGTGTTCTAGTCACTGGGGCTAACAAGATACGGCATAGCCCCTAAAAGTGATCGTTTAAAAATAAACTGTGTGGGGCTTCCCTGGTGGCGCAGTGGTTGAGAGTCCGCCTGCCAATGCAGGGGACATGGGTTCGTGCCCCGGTCCGGGAAGTTCCCACATGCCGCGGAGCGGCTGGGCCCGTGAGCCATGGCCGCTAAGCCTGCGCGTCCGGAGCCTGTGCTCCGCAACGGGAGAAGCCACAGCAGTGAGAGGCCCGCGTACCGCAAAAAAAAAAAAAAAAAATGTGTGCTTAATTTTACTTCCCTAAACCACTCAAAGGTAGCTGATTGAACAATAAATTATTTTTAGAAACAAAAATATACCTTCAACTGTGGAATAAAAGTCTCGTCACTTTCAAGGGCAATCACTTTGGCACCACTTTCAAGCAATGCTCGTGTCAGGATTCCAGGACCTAATGTATTAACAGAACGAAAAGTTTGTTTGCAAAAGAAACAACATAATCTTTTTCAATATCAAAGAAATTAGATGTTTTACCTGTATGATATAATTTTAATTCTCACAACATTCCCAAAGTGGATATTACACTCCTGATTTACATATAAGGAAACTGCGGATTAGATACAGTCACTTGACTCCACCATCACAACTGGAATGTGGTGCTGCCTGGCTTTGAATCCATTCCGTCAAAGACTGCAAAACCTGCGCTCTTTACAATGTTTCACTACCTCTCAAGAAAAAACAAACAAACAAACAAAATAGTTGCCTCTAGCTTACCACTTACTCATAGACTCTCTGGATACTTTATCATCAAAGATATTGCCAAACCTAAACAGAACTGACTCCCCATGATAGGAAATGGTGCTTAAAAAAATTATTTTTCAAGAAGTCTATAAATCTTGCGTTCCCGGCATCCTGCTGCGGTCTATAGAAGATGCACGAAAGGGTAAGATAAAAGTTCTTTTGGGAAGATGGTGAAATCTAAGAGCATGTTTTATCAAAATAGTTTGTAAAGTGCAAACTGCTACGGAAATATCTTGTGGAGTGATGATTAACAGAGGCCATATAAGCTGCTTAAAGGAAGAGGCCATGTTTTACACAGTCTGCAAAAGTGAACATCCAAGAAAATGAAGGCCACGAGGGTCTCACCTGGATTGCATTCCAGGAATAGCTGGCAAGATTTTCGTTTTCCCCGTAGGATCCGCACCAAGGTCTCAGCCACTCTAGGGCTGGTTATGTACCGCTTGGTCTCTGAGCGGCATCTGTAAACACGCGAGGACGATTTTCCAAATCCCACACTGGGCATCAGGTGCGGGTAGTAGTCAGACAAGCCACGGCGGTTCACCGCCGGGACGTCCATCAGCCTCACCGCTCCCGACTTCAAAATGCAAAAGCGCCCAGCGCGGGTCAAGGCTGACAGCATCAGCCTCGAGAGAAGTCCCACCCCTGGGACCCACATTCTCACCCTCTAAGGCCTGTCCCAGTGTTACCCAGGGTCGTTACATCCTCGACGAACTCCATACAGGGAAGCCCATGTGCTATATCTCCTTGCCCCGGGTCTAGGCCGGCGGAAGTAAACACGCCAAACTGTGCGTGCGAACGACCTCTCCATCTTGCCTTTGCCGTCACTTCCGTTTCCGTACCGGCGCAGACGCCCGAGGACTGTGAGTGGACGGCCGAGGAGAGAGACGGGCCATCCAGGCGGTGTCTGAACTCGAACTCTATGGTCGTCCGTCCTCTGCGCCTCCTCTCTAGCCATCCGCGCTCTATGCTCCGCGGTGGCGGGCCGCCGGCCACCAGCCAGCCAGCCAGTCGGGAGGGGTACGCAGAGGGAGGCGGGGCGGGAAGGCGAGAGGTGTCTCCTCCACTCGAGCGGCGGGAGACCCGAGCCAGCTCTGTGACAGCTGGTCGGCCGCCATGTCAGCAAGCGGGGCTGGAAGCGGATCCGGCGCCCGGCGGTAGCCCTCCTTTCGTCTCCGGTTCCCAGGTGAGGAGAGGAAGAGCGGGTCGCAGCTGGCTGGCCGGCTCGCGTCTAGGGTAAAGCCTTTGGGAACCCCCTCGCTGCTCCCCCGGCGCTGTTTTCCTCCGGCAGCGCCGCCTCTGCCCTCTCGGTGCGGTGGAGCCCTGTTCCCTCACCTCCTCCCTTTCTGCGCTCTCCTGTTTCCCTCTCTTCTGTCGCCGCCGTGGCCTCTTCCTGCGCAGCGCGCCCATTTCTCTCTCCCTAGGGCACTTGCGCCAGGAGTTGTCCCTCTCCCGGCTCCCCGCAGAGCCTGCGGCTTCCACGGCGCCTCTGTTCGTTTTTGTCCTGTTGCCCACAGCCGTGTCTCTCCACCCCTGTGGGTGGTTTTATTTTCCTTCATACCTGTTTTCTTCCCCTCACCACTTAGGTTGTCAAGAAGCACCTAGTGTCTCCCTACCGTTCCTCCCTCTGGGCCAATATTTATCTTAGTCTTTATTTTTATTTGCGCGTTTATAAGATTTAAAGTTAAGATGAAAAAAAATAAGATTGAAAAGTTTAAAATTCCTTCATGAGCTTGAAAGCAGTAAGGTCTTAGGATGCTTATTTTGTTGCCTTTGTAAACTTAGTCAAACATATTGTACTGTGGAATACAATTTAAAAGACCGATTCCAAAGACTCTAAAAATAGGATGCTCTAATGGGAATTTTGGCAGTCTTTTTACCTATTGGATAGTGATAGAAGACTCAATTCTTTGAGAGCGATTTCAGTATTTAAGGATTATACTCAGAAAGAGCTTCACCCATCACCCTTTCCACCAAGGCAGGAAACTGCAGCCATTCAACTTCCTATTTTAAAATATGTACAGTCCTTTCTGCGTACCTTACTGGGAGCGTAATTGAGCTTGGTATCTTAAGTGCACAAGGAAAAGATTCCTAAGGAATGTATCGCCTAGCAAATAGAAGTCTGAAGATTTATTCGGCTGATGAATATCAAATGGATAAAGAATTGATGGCCAAGTATGGCCTTTTTCGGGTTGTAAATTTGTGAGGACACCGTAGAAAGTGTCTTGTCAACTGTTGTGGAAGCCCTGGGAACCCTTTGGTCTTAATTTTTTTTTATTCTTTTTAAAATATTTTCCCCATTGACAACTCTAGAAGTTATTCTTGCATCCTCTGAACGCCTGAGAGAGCTCCATACCCCCGATCCTTTTACTGAGCTGTCTCCCCATCTCTCCTTATAAAAATATTTCTGTACATTCAGAAATACACTGGATTTTTTTCCCCAAGAGCCCTTGAGGCCTAAATATTTTAAAAATCAAAGCAGAAAGATCTATTACGGTAGAGGAAGAAATGGTTCACTCATAGAACTGTGTTGTTGAATTTCTCACGTTTAAAATATACTTTAAAAAATTGTGGTAAAAAATACCTACCTTAAAATATGCTTTCTTATTTTATATTTGTGGACCAAAGATAACCTACTCAACTGTGGAGAAATTAATGTCGTTTTTAATTTTGCTTTTGAGTGGTATTATATTCTTTTGATTTTGGAAAAGAGAATTAGGTTATGGTAATTATTTCCCTTTTTATAGTGTTAATGGTTTGTTTGTGGTTGACGATGCTTAAATAATAAGAGACAGAATCTTACACATTTTATTTTTCTGAGGTCCCAGGTGCTAGAAATCACAGAAATATCCATTTCCCTTAAAAATGAACTTTATAATCAGCATTTAGAGCTACTTCTTTAGAAAAACCTTGTTTGTATATTTCCCATCTTATTTTTTTAAGAGGCGTAGTTTTTGCATCCTGTGCTATTTTTGCCTTTTTGAAGTAATGTAATATCTGTTTAGTGGTGTCAGGCAAACTGATTCTACTATTTTTACACTATTCTTAAGTTATTTTTTTTACTATCCCCGTTTAATTGACAGAGAAGTCAAAATACTGATTTTTCTTTTGACTTTGATATGGCAGTTGTAATTGGGAAATGCCAAGTGACAGTTTGCTATCAGAATTTAGGCTGTGGGTCTACAGTAGTGCTGCCCAATAGAGATATAATACAAGCTATATGAGCAATTTAAAGTTTTCTAGTCACATTAACAAAGTAAAAAAGAAGTAGTAGGTGGAATTAATTTTAACATATTTTATTTGATTTCTATATATATCATTTCAACATGTGATCAGTTTTAAAAGTTAATGATGAGATGTTTTACATTCTTTCATACTGAATCTGCAAAATCTCATGGGTATTTTATATTTACAGTACATCTGAATTCCAGCCAGCTACATGTCTTAGCTGGTGGCTAAAGACCTTATTGGGCAGCACATCTATAGGATTACTGTGTGATTCTTAAGATATCTTCTTACCCTGAGAGTCTGGGGTAAATTCTGTGGAGTAAATTTAAAAATCTTTTCCCTAAAGTGCTGGGATATTCAAACTGAGAAGATTCTAGCAGGATGAAAGTCCCAAAAAGTCTCTTCCTTTTTGTGTTGACTGAGGAGGATTAACAGGTGCCCTGTGCTTGTTTAGTGAGTGTCATAAGATGTATAGAGCGCTCAGTCATTTCCTGGTGTGTCATCGTTACAGTTAATTACATCTGCGTGTCAACAGTGTGTCAAGACACTGTATGAGTCTTTGTCTACTATATCTGTTGGTATTAAGTAGGGAGAACTTGAAAACATACGAGAAGTTTGAACTTTATGGTAAACAGGTAGAGTACCTACTGTTGGAGGCTTATTTTCTGAATCGGTTTCAGGTATGGCTAAGAGTTCTGTAAATGCGCTTCTATATATGATGGTGTTATTAAAGGAAAGATAAAATCTTTTTAGCAAAAACTGGGAAGGAAGAGGGTATGTTTTTTGGCTGTAAAACACTGGGAGCCTGAGTAATAGCAAAACACACACACGTGTGTGGTGGTTTGGTTAAACTGTAAAGGGAATATGGCAGTTTTTTAGAGAATGCTACTGACATATTGACAAGGAATGTGTTTTAAGTTGTTTTTGCAACAGATGTGATGATTTGCACCATCTCTTGTTCAGAGCTGTTATAACTTAAAGATAACCCTCTTTGAAAGGTAACTGCAGCTCGCTGACTTCAGTGGGGATCAATAGGACCCATCATCGTTCTTATCTTGATGTCTGTATTCTGATAAGCTTACCTAAATACTATTTTAGCTGTACTTTTACATTTAATGTCAGAATTTACTTGAAGGCCTAATTTATATTCAGTATAATTTAATATGAGAAACATGCCTCCTCCACAACTTTTATGGTATAAAGAAATCTTAAATTACCTGATCAGTCAACAAACTCCCTCTGTAAAACCTAGTCAGTATAAACCTAGCACAGTGTTGGCAGTGTGTGGAGTGTTAAAGGATCAAAGACAGATTTGGGGAAGGGGATAGTTATTGGATGTTGCTTGTTTCGTGAGAGGTGCATACACATTATGTAGGAAAACAGAGCATTTTCATTTTGTCTTTAAATATAGATGGCTATCCATTGACACCATTTTAGTTGGATAAGAGAGAGAATACGTTGTTTTGTTGCTTCAAATTAGTCTTAGCAAATTTTTCTTTAGTTATTTAAGGAAGAATAATTGATAGTCTGGCAATTTTCTGTTTTTAAAAAGGCTCAATTTAAGTGGTCTTTACAAGGATTATATTTTTATTGAGAAGTTCTGCACTCAATATGTCCATCTGTCTTGATACAGTTATGAGTGTGTTCTGTTTAGGGCCTTGAAGATTCACATGAATATAGGCTTTTCCTTATTTATGTATCATTCCTTTGGGGGAAATTATATTTCCTTTTAACCAAGGAATACTTTTTTTTAATGCATTTGAAGTAACTGTTTTATAATATCCTTTAATAAAAAGTAAAAAAAATCATATCTAAACAATCTTCAAAAAAAGAAATACATCATTAAAAAGTTCTGAATCTTATAATAGGTTGAGATTTCTTAAATTGTTTTAGTCACAGTTTTCAGATTCTGCTCTTTAACATATTTGGAGATGAAAACTTTTTGCCTTTATATCACCTCCTCCCTTCCATCTCTTAGGACTTCCTGCTTTTTCATCATCATTAGCCATGTGGAAAGGAAAAATAGTGTGTGTTTGTCAAAATACTGACAGATCAAGAGTATTTTTCCCTTTGACTGTAGGAAGAATTCTGAAGGAGTAAGTGACACATTTAGTCAACTTTATTGACATTTGGGCATTTGATATTTTAATTGACAGTACCTAAGAGATTTTAGTAATTAACAATATTTTGTAATTGTACCTATTAAGTTCTCTTATGAGAATACTAACCTGATTTTCTTGGAAAGCTACTATCTGAATAAATAATTACATTTTTTCTATGTTTGCTGCATTTTGAAAACCCAGTGAATTAGGTGGCTGTGGATTTGTAATTTGAATGAAGGCAAACTAATATTTTGGGGGCTTCCCTGGTGGCGCAGTGGTTGAGAGTCTGCCTGCCGATGCAGGGGACACGGATTCATGCCCCGGTCCGGGAAGATCCCACATGCCGCGGAGCGGCTGGCCCGTGAACCATGGCCACTGAGCCTGCGCGTCCGGAGCCTGTGCTCCGCAACGGGAGAGGGCACAGCAGTGAGAAGCCCGCGTACCGCAAAAAAGAAAAAAAAATAATAATATTTTGAAGCACCTTTTATATATAGGTTTTTAAATAAATAATTTCCTTAAAATATGTGAACTTTATAATAAGATAAAGAATGCTGTTGTTCCTGGATATTGGAGGGCATACCACTTGTATTTTTATTTTATGCCTGCATTGTTTTCCTTGTTCACTATTTCTCTCTTCTGCAGGTATTAGCTCTGTACAACAAAATCTTCAAAAAGAATTATTAAATGAACTGAAAAACATTGCTTAAGATTTTTCAACAAGGACTCATTTTTGTGAACATGTGTTTTATTTATTGAAGCCTAGTGGAGTTTTGTTTTGTTTTTTATTTTTCTCCCTTATTAACCACCAAAGATTAGTTTAGATTTTTCTTTTTTCCACTCTGGACATGAAAAAGTTTACTTAAATCAGGTCTCAAAAGGATTCATACCAAGTAACAGACTTGATCTCCTCCCTCATGTTCAACTCAAAAGAGGAGTGGAATTTTGTAAAATTATGAAGTTTAGTTTCCTGAAAAAAAGGTTTTGTATCCATTTGTGATTTCTTAATCCAAATTCAGTCATTAGGCTTTATATTTTTCAACAATTTACAAAGTAAATCACTAGGTTTCTTTTGCTCCAATAGTTTAAGAAAACAAAATTGTTGTGGAGTTCTTTGTCACGCCAGTTAGAGTTTTTAACTATAGCATTGCATAAGCACTGTAAAGAGCCAAAATTAGAAGCAATGGTATGTGACTTCCTTATTTTAATCATATAATTAAATGTTTTGTAAGACAAGATGGTTTGTTGTCTTAGTCTTACAGTTGAACCCTAGTTTAAAATTGACCTAACAGGTCTTATGTCCACCGAAGTTCGTATTTTTGCTAGCCAGAGAAAGATCTATTTCAAATTAACCTAAAGTGTCTAATTCAGGAGGTAATTTTTTATTATATCAGGTACCCTCTTGGTTAATTATAATTTTGTGCATTTTGATGCCTATAGGCTTTTTGTCCTCTTTCAGCTGTGTGCCTGGGGAAAACCTAGGGACTCCCTAGTAAACCATGACAGGGCTTTGACCTTTGAGTATTTGGCTTACCTTCCCTGACAGCCTCAAAGAGTATACCTATGTGTGCAGAAAACTTATGAGCAAAAATTCTCCTCCGGGAACACTTATCTATGCTGATGAAACAAATATTCTAAGAATGTCTGTCTTAAAACTACAGTTTCCATGTACTTGTATAATACTTTGTATAAAACTATGTATTTTGTATAGCCTTTGCTGGAGAGTTTCCATTTTGTTACAGTGCTTCAGAGTACGTAAAAAGATATCCAGAATAATATCTCCTATAGCTTATTCTGCCTTACCTCACCTTTTGGTTTTTTCCTAACCTGTCTTCCATGAAAAGTTCAAAAGTCAGAACAGGTCATGGTTTATTATAACCTTGGGGTGGGGGTGAGGTAGGAGTACAACACATTTTATGCCTTCCTTTTTTCCTCTCCTTCCTCTCTATTACAAAAGTAATAGTGCTCCAGAGAGAAAAAAAGGTGGATAAATTTTATTTTATTTTTATAAATTTATTTATTTTTGGCTGCACTGGGTCTTCGTTGCTGCGCACGGGCTTTCTCTAGTTGCGGCGAGTGGAGGCTACTCTTCGTTGTGGTACGCGGGCTTCTCATTGCGGTGGCTTCTCTTGTTGCAGAGCATGGGCTCTAGGCACGCGGGCTCAGTAGTTGTGGCTCACAGGCTCTAGAGCGCAGGCTCAGTACTTGAGGCGCACGGGCTTAGTTGCTCTGCAGCATGTGAGATCTTCCCGGACCAGTGTTCGAACCCATGTCCCCTGTATTGGCAGGCGGATTCTTAACCAGTGCGCCACCAGGGAAGCCTGATATATTTTAACTTAAGGAAAACATGGTTATTCAAAAATTAGAGTTTTTTCCTAAAATGAAAGTTGAACAGAAGCTTTAATTTAGCAGTTAGAATCCATTGATCACTCTCATCATACTTTTGATGTCTGGTGGATTTTATTTGCCAGGAAGAAACTTTTGAGTACAAGTGTTACCTATACTGCTCACTGCACAACAGGCCAGTAAATCGGGAGACAAGTTCATGGGGCAAGGAATAGTGAGTGACTTTATTCAGAAAGCCAGCGGACTGAAAAGGTGGTGGACTAGTGTCCCAAAGAACCATCTTCCCCCAGTTAGAATTCAGGCCCCTTTATACTAAAAGGGGTGGGGGTGTGGTTGGTTGCTGCAAACTTCTTGGTGCCAGAATCCTTCATTCTTCCAGCTTTCCAGGTAGGTCCAATCACAGTGTTCCTATAAACCTCCAGCAAGACAAATGTTATTTTCTCTTCTGCAACTTTTTATCTCTATGTGAATGGAAAAGTGTTTTACCTTTAAAGGTCAGAGTCTTGAGAGTGGGCTATCCTGTATATTTTAGGCTACAGGCAACATTCTTAACTTGTGGCAAAAAGCAATAGAATACAAACGTTAAAGTAGAAGAAGCAGATGCAGTATGGTGTCAGACTTGTTCTTCCCTATTACAGAAGGAAACTTTGAGTACACCAATACTAAACTGTGCTAGAGTATATATATGTGTGTGTGTGTGTGTGTGTGTGTGTAAATACATATATATATATATATATATATATATTTACTTGGCTGCACCACGTGGCTTGTGGGATCTTAGTTCCCCAACCAGGGATTGAACCCAGGCCTTCGGTAGTGAAAGTGCCAAGTCCTAACAGCTGGACCGCCAGGGAATTCCCACTAGAATATATTTAATAGTGTCTCTTTCATCATATGTGTTTTCTTTAGGGAATATTCTCCACTGAAATAAAATATCTTTGGGGAAAAATCGTATTCTGTCCACAGTCTTTCAAAGTATTGGAAGGTATCTTCTTCTGGGACAAATTTTTTCTCTTGGTTTTTTATTCTTTTCTTAGAATTTCTTACCTAGGATAAACTACCTTACTCTGGAATTTTTTCTTTTCCCAAACCCCCATCAAAATACTTTCTCTTGAATGACTAATTATAGGAAAACATATTCACTTTTACACCTGTCTCCCTTCCTGCCTTTCTATTAACTTTTGTTATGCTGGAGATATAAATTAGTATGTCACTGTTGTGTCAAACATCACAGT